TTTTCGGCGTAAATGCAAAATGATTACATAATTCATTAGAGTTTGCATTGTGTGCGAAACGTGCGCTCAACAACAACAGCAACACCAAAAATCCACCAATAAACCGCGCTAGCGAACAATAAAACAGCTGCCAATTTCGCATTGAAAAATCATTATTTAATTTTGTTTTATTTCTAAATTCATTAAAATGTATTCATTTTAATTTAACGCGCCGCTGGTTGACGCTGCCTACATACAGGCAGGCTAAGAGCGGCTTAGGGATATTAATATTAATAAATATGTACGTATGTATGTGAATTTAAAATATTTGAATGTGTAAAATGTGCATTTTGGCGCGAAAATCTTCTTTACTTTGAAAAAAAAAAACGATACCTGCAGCGCCATCTGTTGAGCGTTTTATGGAAAAATTCTTTTTAGAAAAAATAAGAGACATTTTTTTTTTCTCAACTTGCCAATGAAGAGAACCAACCAACCAGGTGTGCCGTTTGTAGTTGGCAAAAGAAATTTATCTACTCTTAGCGGCGCTCAAGCAGAAAAAAGGGGAAATGTATTTTTTCTTATATTTTTTTTTGTTTGCTTCCTCATCCACCTTTAAGAAAATGTCGGCTTTGTCAACGTCTCAGGAAAACTACCCCTTATGGCTGGGGTTTCTTAGAAAAAATTTGCAAATGGAAAGAGTAAAAGACGAAGGGATATTTCTGCTGACAGCCGCGACTCCAACCTTCCACACCTTCCTGCCAACTTAACGCGCGCGCACTTCGTTTGCTATTTGCTTTTCTTGGAAAGCGCTCAGCGTAGGCTACGCTGGAGAGGTTGAGGAACTTTTGGGTGGCATCTTCGAGTGCCAAGTAAGGGGTTGGTCGCTGAATTTTTCTTAAGTAGCTAACGAAGGAGAATTTCTTATGCGCTGTGTGGGCAGTCGTGTGGATGGATGGATGGTTTGTTGGGAGAGCAAAAGTTGCAAGCTTCTTAGCGGCATTTTTTTCTTACATTTTTCTATTTTATTCCTTTGAGAAACTTTACGCTAATGCGCGCCTTTGGCAATAGATGGCGTTCCAGTAAAAAGCTCATTTTAGATACTTAAAGGAAGCAATGAGTTATTAGGAAAATATATTTTGATTGTGCGTTTGATTTTTGCAATTTTTTATTTTTATTTTAATTCGACGTTTCCTTGGCGAAAAAATCCTCTTATTTCTTTGCACTCAAATGGCAGTATATTGGGTAAATATTTCCCTATACTTAGCTCTCGCTCATTCATTAATAGTTTTGCTTCAAGAAATGGCGCTTATTCTCAAGCACTCGCACTTCTCAACACACAAATACATGCATACATATGTACATATGCGCCGGATTTCGACCAATTATATTTTGTGGTTAACCGCAAAAATTCATTGAAGACAATTTTCGTCGGTAGATGTACGACGTCGGCGCTCTATCGTCTCATATATGTATGTGTAGTATGTATGTATATCTACTATGTAGATATGTATATCCGCGACAGGACTCTCCATCAGTTGGTGGTGGAAGTCAGTTTACTCGCTCGCATGCACTCACACTACTACATAAACAACTGATACTTAATCAGCGTTGCCATTTTAGTCGTTTTCCGGCTAGATTTAGCCGGTTTTGATAGCAACTAGCCGGAGAAAATTCGATCTAGCCGGCAGCCGATTTGTTAGCCGGTTTGTAAAAAAAAGTTAGCCGTTTTTAGCCGATTTTACTATTTGCCTAATTTTCAGGTGCAAAAAGTAAACAAGTTGTTCGAAAGCAATAATGCAGACCCAATGAAGATTTTTAATGAACTCAATGTTTTACTTTCGCATCTATGCTCCCTAGTGGTTATTAGCGCGGACACATTTGATCTTATATGCTCCCCGTTGGAACCATACCTTGCTCCATTTCCTCCGTTTTATCACAGTTTTGAAGAGTATTTAAAAACAAAAGTAAGCACAAAACGCTTTTGACCACGAAGCCGAGAAAATAATTCGAGAAAATGGTCGCTATTTTATTATCAGTTTAATAAAGGAATTACGCCAACGCCTCCCTACAAATATTGCCACACTATAAAAAATTGACTTTTTTCGGTTGGAAATGCATTAAGAGTAAATAAACCAAAAGTGTTTGTTCAACTACAGCAACAAAAACACAAATATAATGCCGACGAAATAACATCCATAGAGATGCAATGGCAACGGTTAACGTTACATACCTGGAGTAATTTAGACTCAACTGTAAAATTTTGGGCCGAAGTTTGCTGACCTTTCCAATATTTAGTTCAATGAATATAATAAAAACTAAGCAAAGAAATCCAATGTGCGTTAAAACGTTAAACGCTATTTTATATATAAGATACGGTTTAAAACGTGAAGAAAAATGCTGCCATAATTTTACTGTAGATGACGATCTCTTAAAATTAATGAATTCAGGTGATATATACAATAGTGATTCATTTGATGATGAGGAATATACACTCGATATAAATTAATGGTGTTAACTAGTCTTTCGTTTCTTGCGATTTATTTAAATAAAGCATGTGAATTTTCACTAAAACATTTTAGCCGTTTTTTGCCAGAGTCTATGTGAAATTTCACTAAAACATTTTAGCCGTTTTTAGCCGCTTTTTTTTGCCAATCTAGCCGGTCGGCGCAAAAAGTTCTGGCAACACTGTACTTAATTAGTAGTTGAATGTGTGCTTGTTCCTGGCAGTCGTCTACTCCCCACCTATGCCTATATATATGTATGATTGTATGTATATGCGTAAGTATGAAATGAAAACGAATTCGTATGTAATCAGTCATCCATATGAATATTGGAAATTTGTGCACACGGTTACCTAGCAGCTGCAATTATCCTCAGCATTGGTTTAGAGTGGTGACTATTTTCACATATTTTTGTTTTCATATACTTATTTCATCTGCATATTTCCAACCCTCACCAAAAAGTTACGACCAAGCGGGTGAGTGAGTCAGTACTGCCGATTTTCTGATTGACTGACGAGCTAGACTAACTAAGCGACTGCCAGACTGGTTAGTTCACTGGTCAGCAACGTCATCGTCATCATCTTATCCGCTACTGTCAGCAATGTTTGTGGTATTTTTGGTGAGTATCGACCAGCAGATAATAGTAGGTACAAATGTGTATGGGTCATTCCATACTATATTTAAAACCAAATTTTTTTTTTTTTTGGGTTAAATATATTTTTCTACATTCTTTATCGAAAAAAACACCCATTATTTTCTTCGTCATGATATTCGAAAATCTCGAAAAAATACCGAAATTTTGAACTCACGGGGAAGTATCTTTTTTAGATTGTTTGCAGTTAATAAACTATTTGTCTGAGCAAATCAGTTAAGGTATCAAAATGTGCGTAATTACCTCGGCTTTCCATGAGAATGTGAGATAGATTAAAATAAAAATAAAATCCATTAAAAAATCGCATTTTTTATTTTTAATTTTTATTTTCATTGCAAAATTTTTTTTAAATCTATCTCACTCATGGAAAGCCGACATTTTGATACCTTAACTTCTCCGACAAATAGTTGATTAACTGCAAAAAATTAAAAAAAAAAACGATACTTCTCCATGAGTTCAAAATTTCGGGATTTTTTTTTTTTGAGACGAAATAAAAAGATAGGTGTATTTTTTTCGATAAAGAATGTAAAAAAATATATTCAAACCAAAAAAAAATATTGAGGTGTAAATATTGTATGGAATGACCCGTATGTATGTACATGACATGTGTGCAAGTTCACTTTATGCATGCGAGTGCGCTCTCTCTCTTCATAAAATTCGGTTGGTTGAATTTTTACTTATTGGAGTTCTTTTTCTGTTGACTGGATATGGAATTATTATGATTTGCGGTTAACCGCAAAGAAAACAAAACTCCGCCCATGCTGCGCATACAAATGCACTTACATGCTTGCATACATACAAACATACAAACCTACATATACATACATACTTGCATGAAAACGTCAAACAATGTAATTATATTTAGGATATGCATTTTGTTAGTTTGACAAAGTAACAAAATCCAAAGGATTTTTAAATTCTAGAATACCAAATTTTTACTCAAATCAGTGGAAAACTTATTTATTTGTGGTTTGAAAATTTATACAATGTACATTAGACCGCATGACTCCCCATACAAAAAAATGGGTACTGTTTTTCCACCGGAATTAATGAAATCTATTATATTTTAAGACTTTCACCGAAATATTTCCGAAAAATATTAAGATTTACGTGAGCTCGACCGATATGAAAATACCTCCAAAATTTGAATTTTTTGTGAAGAAAAACAGTTTTTTTAAGTATTTTTTGCAAAAAATCACCTTAGATAACAAAGGAGTTTCATGAGGTATAATTGTAATTTTCTCACCCTTTCCAGTGATACCCTACAAGTCTATAGCGGCATAGTTTTGGCCCAGTTATTCAAGTTTTTCTTAAACAAGTCTTTGAAAAAAGTTAAAAACAGCATCAAAAGTCTCATTATTATGATTCCATTGAAGACATTTTTTAATATTTTTATGTAGATTTTTAAAGCTTAACCTCTTTTGTCATCTGGGGGGATTTTTTCCAAAAAACCCTTTGAGAACCAATTTTTATTCATTAAAAACTCATTTTTTGGAGGTATTTTCCAATCGGTCCAGCTCACGTAAATCTTAATATTTTTCCAGCATATTTTGGTGGTAGTCTTAAGATATGGAACATTTTGTAATCCCGGCGAAAAAAACGCAACTTTTTTTGGTCATGCAGTCCCGATACTGGTAACACTGCAACGTTGTTGACGTGTTTGTGATCGCTCTGCGGAAGGTTTTTAAAAAACAGCCGAATTGTTGGGATTTTTACCAGCGTTAGAGCCAGTGACTTAAATAGCGAAGTGCTAATAAACTGTGCTATTTGCAAGCACAAAAATTTGTTTCATTTTGATTAAACAAACAAATAAATATAGCTAGAAACATAAAAGTGCAGTGAGGTGACAAAAACAATAAGGCGCGAAAATGGATAAATGCCATAAGTGCAAGAATCCAATTCGCGGTGACAGCGGAATCCGCTGTGATGGTGTGTGTGGTAAAGTGTGGCACTGGGCAAAAAAATGCTCTGAATTGGATGAGTACAGTGCGAATGTACTCAAAGAAAACAACTTTGTGCGCTTTATGTGTAACCAATGTCACACATACATGCATAACATCGATGAGGTGCTCCGAAATATGAACTTAACAATAGAGAAAAATAGTCAAAAGATCCAAGAGTGTAATGATGACTTCCAGGAGTCGCAGAAAATGCAAGTGAAAGAGCTTAAACTTCTCTTGCAATCAATAGAGAAAAAATTTGGGGAACGCATTGATGCAATGCAAAGAGTACAAAAAACCTGTGAGGCGAGTATTCTCGAAGTGAACCAAATTAAGTCAATAGCTGACGGCGTAAAAAAGCAAAGCCATGATCTTTGCGAAGCCATAGTGCGCAATGAAAATGAGAACAAAAAAATTTGTGAAGAGATAAAGAAATCGGTGACTGCTGACGCGTTAGCAGGTCAGCGGGCGAAAGCCACTTACGCGGATCTCTTTAAAGGTAATACTGCGAAAGATAATAGGCCGCCGAAAGTAAATAAAGAGAAGCCATTAGTTCTACAACCAAAAGAGAAGCAGGAAGTGGGAAAAACAAAAGAAGATTTGAACAAAAATGTTGACCCCTCAGGCTTGAAAATTAATAGTGTACAGGGGAGGAAAAGTGGGGCTGTAGTAATACAAACAGAAAATGAGGCTGAGCGTGAAAAAATCAAAAAGGCAATAGAGAATAAAATGAGTGATAGATATGAAATAAAAATCCCAAACGTAGCCAAGCCAAGGTTCATGGTATATAGAATGAGCTTTAAACATGAGAATGAGCAGCTCAGGGATATGATAAAAAAACAGAATGAATGCTTCAAAAATGGTAATTTCAAAATTTTGAAATGTTTTGAAACAAAAAGAGGAAATGCAAAACATTATAATGCGTTAGTAGAAACAGATGTAGATGCGTTTGCAGCCGTGCTGGCAAGCGAAAAAATAAACATAGGTTGGGAAAAATGTAGAGTCAAAGATGGAATGGATGTTACTTTCTGTTTCAAATGCAAGGGATTTAACCACATGGCTGCGAAATGTAAAGCCGATGAGGTATGTTTCAAGTGCCTAGATAACCACAAAACTGTGGAATGTTCTAAGGAAACATTAAACAAATGCATAAACTGCATTCGTGCTAATAAAAAATTTAACTTAGGGCTTGATGAAAATCATATGACATTTAACCGACAGTGTCCTGTATACCAGAAAAAGCTCCAGCATAAAAGAAATACTGTAAATTACTAACAATTACAGCAAGTTTGTGGGGACCCTAGCGTTGAGTTTACGTCTCACCCAGGTGTAAAGAAAGCGCTACCCAAATATTTGCAATGCGTATATCTCAATATACAGAGTTTAGTGGCTAATAAAGTTGAGCTAGAAATACTTATAGATTTTACCGACCCGGATCTACTTTTGTGTTCCGAAACATGCCTAACTGATGACATAGAGGATACGGAAATAATGTTCCCGGCGTATCAGATGATACGCTGCGACTCACACAGTAGACACACAGGGGGAGTGATAATACTCGTTCGAAACACGCTCGGTTTTAAAACAATAACTAACAAGGCTTTAGACAAAAATGTTTGGTGTATAGTTATTCAACTCACACACTGTGATACCAGGTGGCAGCTCGGGGTGGTTTATCACTCCCCAAGCTCAAGTGATGCGGAATTTGTTACATATATGGAGGATATCCTAGCAGAAATCTCAGAAAATTCTGTGAACACTGTTGTCATTGGCGATTTTAACATAAACATGAACGTAGTATCAACCTACAGCAGAAAACTCAATGATGTTTTCTTGCAGCAAGCCATGCAACAGCTGATAAATTTTAATACGAGGGTGACGGAACATTCGGAAACACGTATTGACTTGTTGTATTCCAATGATAACCGAGTTATATGCCAAAAGGTCGAGGATCATAGAATATCTGACCACGAAACAATAATGTTTCGACTAAATGTCAATAAACTTAACCCACTTGCTAAGGAGGCAGAAGTAATATCCTGGGAGAGATATAACCCTGAGAACTTAACAAGTTTACTAAGGCAGTGCGATTTCTCAAACTTAAATTTTTTCGATGCTGACGGTATGGTGGAGTATATTACTCACTGCATTATGTGGGCCATGAGGCAGTTGACTTACTCAAAAATAACTCGCATTAGGCAGAGCAACAAATGGTATGATAGGCAATTGACAGAGATGAACAAGTATAAATCTAAATCCCATGAGAAAGCAGTGTTGTCAGGGTACTGGGGTGAATATAATTTAGTGAGAAGCAGATATAAGAAAATGGTAAGGTGTAAAAAAATTAAATACTTAGAGCATAAGGTGGAAATAAATAAGGGTGACAGTCGACTCATGTGGAAATACTTAAAGGAGGTAGTCAATAACACGGAGGTCAAAGAAAATATTGGGGAAGTGATAATAAATAACACCAACTACGTAGACAGCTTTGAAATTGCGGAAAACCTAAATAATTTTTTCGTGGACAGCATTTTGGAAATACATACCAATATAGAGTGTGTAAACTATGATTTTTTCGAGCAACGAGCTCCCACAAGTACGCTAAAATTTGAAGAGGTCTCAACGGAAGACATTCTTCAAATTGCCAAAAAATTTAAGCGGAAAATTGGGGGAAACAACCTACTTTCTGAAGGTGTTATTAAGGACTCTGCTGATTATATGGGATATTTCTATGCCCTACTTATAAATAAGAGTCTCCAGACAGGATCAGTACCGGAAGAATGGAAAATTTCATCAATAGTGCCCGTCAAGAAAGTTAGAAAAACGGTTAAAGCTGAGGAGCTTAGGCCCATCAATACTCTCCCTAGCTTGGAAAAAATGCTAGAAACCGTTGTGAAAAACCAGCTACAGTACTATGTGGAATCCAATAAAATACTCATAAAAGAACAATCTGGATTCAGAGCTAAACATTCCTGTGAGACTGCGCTGAATCTGGTGCTTTCTCAATGGAAAGAAGATCTGAACAGACACCTTAATGTAGTGGCAGTGTTTATTGATCTTAAAAGAGCATTTGAAACCGTTGATAGGGTCCGAATGTTGGATAAACTAAAATACATTGGTATAAAAAACACTGAGCTTGACTGGTTTAGAAGCTTTCTGTGTAATCGTAGGCAACAAACAATAGTTAATTCAAAGAGGTCTAGTAAGATAGCCGTAGACATCGGATTACCACAGGGCTCAGTTTTGGCACCCCTACTCTTTAATATATATATAAACGATATTAAAAGTTCTCTCAAACATTGTAAAATAAAACTCTTTGCGGATGATGCCTTGTTAACGATCAGTGATAGGGAACTACCAAATGCGATTGTCAAAATGCAAGAAGATCTTAATTCTTTGTATCAATGGCTGTGTTCAAATAAACTCAAACTGAATGTGAAAAAGACTAACTTTATGGTATTTTCCAGAGCGGCAAATGCTGACTCCATAAGCCGTGAATTAAAAATCAAAGATGAAAATATCGAAGAGGTGAAAATTGTCAAGTACCTAGGAATATACATAGACAACAAACTAAAGTTTGATGAGCACGTTGAGTATACAGTCAACAAGATTGCTAAAAAAATTGGCCTTATAAAGAGATCGTGTAAGTACTTGGGAAGAAGATATAAAACGTTGGTGTACAGGTCAATAGTAGAACCGCACTTTATATACTGCCCCACGATTTTCTTCCTAGCGGGGGACTCCCATGTAGATAAGCTGCAAAAAATGCAAAACCGAGCGATGAGATTCATCCTCAACAAACCGTATGACACACCAACAAGATGTATGCTTGTAACCTTGAATTGGTTAAGCGTGAAGCAACAAGTTTTTTACCACGCTATGAAATTTGTGTACAATATTAAGAAGGGCAACCTGCCGGATTATCTTAGCGATAACCTCCGATATATAAATGAGACGCATACATATTTGTTGAGAGAGAATAACAGCTTCAGACTCCCGAAGTATAGAACAGAAGTGGACAAAAAAAATATTTTCTATTAAGGCTTAAAGTGCTTCAATGAATTACCAGAGGCTATAAAAAATTGTGATACTATCACTCTTTTCAAGCGGCTGCTATTTGACTATTGTAGAACGCAGCCTACAAGATAGTGATGTATCAACAATAGCGTGGATTGGAAACTAGGCCTTTCCAACCACCAAGATATCGAGACTAGGCGGATCGGAAACTCGGCCTTTCCGACTACCTAGACCCTTAGATAATAAACAATAAACGAGCGGATTGGAAACTAGGCCTTTCCAACCGTTAACCGTCACGAAAGCGCGACTGGGTGGATCGGAAACTCGGCCTTTCTGACCACCCAGGAGATATCAATAAATGGAGTAACCCAAAAAGAATAGCGCGGATTGGAAACTCGGCCTTTCCAACCGTCTACATAACTTCAAGGAAATTGCATGCGTGTATAATGACATAAAATAATTGCAGTGATAAAGAAATAATGTTATTTAAAAATTTCTGTAGAGCATTTTGTATTTTGTATTTAATATTTAATATTTATATTTTAAATCTAAAATCTAATTATAAGAATGTTAAATCTTTGTTGCAATATAAGTCTAACAGACTGTAAAAAATAAATAAATAAATAAATAATGTATGTACATACTTTCGTGCTTTCCGTCTAAACTTTTTCCCAATAAAAAAGACTGAAAATATATTGAAGTACTTAATTTAGTTAATCAGCACATACAATAAATTGAAAACAAAGCTGCTTGTCAAGTAATTTTTTCTAGCATGCCTTAAAATATATGAAATTGGTTTAATATTTTTTTAAAGTACACTGGAAAAATGATTATTCCAAATCGAATAGTTAACAAATACACAGAAATATTGTCAATTACGCCGTTCGACAGTGAATTTTACACACAAAAAACTAATATAACTGCATTTTTACTTTCAAATTTCAAAGATATGATTAGTTACAAAAAATATTTTGAATAAGTAGTTTTTAAGCAAGAAACAAAACCGACTTCAATTTTCATATACAAATTTTAGAGTAGCGTTAAAATCTTCTTTATACAATGCTCGGATCTAAAACAACCCTCTGAGGTACCGCCATTCCTTTATAGAAATCGGTTAATGTGGTCCAAAGTTATCCGGTAATATACATAAATAATAAAAATATTCCGACGAATTGATAACCTCCTCCTGTTTTAAACGGTTGAAAACTAGTTCAACGTAGGATAACGATATGCGTATCAAATAAAAGAAAAAAATTCTGTATAAATAATAAGGCGAACATATTTTTTTGAATAAGGGCGAATAAATATTGAAAATGGGTTTTGTTAGATTTTATGTTTTAATATTTAGCCTTCAAAACGTTCAATGTTTGTTTTTGAAAAAATTATATAATTAGGACTAGTACATTTACACGCGACCACATTCTAGAATTTCGTCGTTCCAACTTTACTTTCTGAGTATAAAAAAAAAGTAAGTAAAAGGAGAATTCCAATACCTGTTCGTCCTAATGAACCAAAGGTTACGTTTTATTCTACGAGTTTTCATTAAAGTTCCCTCCAAAAGTCGCCCAACTTCTTCAAAATATCTAAATTTTTGATACTCAAATTTTAATGTAACTACATAATGGCTTATCTATGTAATGCTTATGCAACTTTCACTTTAAACTTTTTCGAACAATTATAAAGACCAGTTCTTCCACTAAAAAACCTGACCTTTCCGTCTTTCAGGAAGCTTTCGCGAAAAGGACAAAGCTTCTGAATAATTATTTTAGTTAAAAAATTTTGTTTATGTCTCTTATTGTACTGTAGAATTTTTAGAGAATTTGGGTATAACAATTATATACATACATAAGTGTGTACTTCTTAAGTGGCTTAAATCGTAACAATATTTCTTTCAGTGCACTGTCAAGCGCCCTCAAAAAACCACATCAATATATTCTCTGATCCTCAATGCACAAATAATTGCCAGCGTCATCCTTTTTTCATTCAAGTTTCCTTACGCCACGTACATAATGCATACAAATATGTGTGTATGCTTGCATACATACGTACATACATATGTACGTATTCGGATGGACTCAATGCTTTTGTGAAGCTAAATTTTAATTAATCCCACTTGAAATATTAAAATAATACTAATTACATTCACTTGCCCAGCGAGCCACAACAAAATAGTAAAACAAAAAAAACAGAAACTGACCCATAAGCAAACAAAATACGTACGTAAGTTCATGAGGATGCAGCAAAAGCAATGGTGGAAGATTTTTTTTGGCATCAGACGGATAAACAGAGTGCACTCGAGCAGATTAGAAGCTCACTGTTGCGGGAATGTGTAGGTAAACAGAAGTTAAGGGATACTCTTGAACGGATATAACCTCACACTTGCATATATGCACACTTATGTATGTATGTAACGGGTGATTTTTTAAGAGCTTGATAATTTTTTTTTTTTAAAAAACGCATAAAATTTGCAAAATCTCATCGGTTCTTTATTTGAAACGTTAGATTGGTCCATGA